GGTCCGGTATGGGGGCGACACTGAGGGTTGCGATCCGTTGCCGGACACGGAAAAAGAAAAAAAAAAAAAAATTTAAAAAAGAAAAAGAAAAAAAAAAGAAAGAAACTGAATTTTTTTTTTCCTTTTTGACTTTTTTCGTGACCGGTAACGGGATCGCAACCCTCGGTGTCGCGCCTGCACCGCACTCAACCAGTGAGCAGACCGGTCTCTATATGGGATCCGAACCCTCGGCGGGAGCGCCGCCACACTCCCAAGTGCCGCACTCTACCGAGTGCGCCACCGGGCCTGCCCTTCTGTATCCCTTTCTATATTTCTTTACCTTTTTAAAGAAAAGTTTTACACTATTAAAGTTTTTTGTTTATCTCCTTTTCCAGCAAGCATGGTCTGTGTCTTTTGTATTTTTCTTTTTGCCATCTATCTTGTCAGTCATTGTAGTAGGCAGTCAACAGATGTTGGCCCAATGAATGAATGAATGAATGAATGAATGAATGGGAGGAAAAGGAAGACTGGATCAAAAGCACCTAGGGATTTTACTTGTAGTCCTAGAAATCCAAGAGAGTAAGCAGGAGGAAGTGCATTTGCTGAGTTCTGATACACTCTGATAAAGAGCAATCCCGTGCTGTAAGAGGTCACAAGTTTTATAATTTCAGAGCACCCTTCACATATTCCACTTACCACACTGTATAAGTATTTGGTAAGTAAAGAAGGGAAATTACTATAAAATATTATATCCTTATTCTTTGAGGCTGTGAGTTTTGGTGTCTTTCTAAAGATTCCTCGATTTTCATTAAAGATGCTGGAATACACAATTCATGTATTTGTTCGAATTTGGATCTCCTGCCTGACTTAAAAGCTAAACCCAGGATTTGTTGCAGGCCCTTTGGCTTATCATTTCTGGTTATGAAATAGAACTTGCCTATGAAATTATCTATATAGCATTTATTATGGTTGTTACATATTTACTAATCAAGCCTGTTTAAAAAGAGAGTGCATACTCAGGAATACAAGCCTGTGCACACACGTGTATATTAAGCCAGTCCATAAAAAACAAGGTAAAGCAAATGGAATTTCATTTCAGTGTGTGTTCTTCTAATTTTGGATTACACATCTTTTTCCCAGTCTGAAAATATTTTGTTTTATTTTGATTTTGTTTCCAAACTTATAGCTGCGATTAATACTACTGTAGAGGATGAGACTGAAACAAATGAAGTTCAAGGATTTCTTTTTGGGAAACTAAAGTAAGTCTGAATTTAAATGAAATGGTATCACTGTGCCCTTTTGTACTAATTAACAGGAATTATTTTGGTATGCTGTTTTAGCATATGTTTCATGTTTCTTTTTTAAATGCAGTTGTTTTTATTTATTACAAAAGTAACACATAGCTAATGTCAGAAAGCTAGGGAAAGCAAACAAGCACAAAATAGAAAAATTTTTGGATCCCAGTACCAGCGAACTGCCAAAAAAATAGGAAAATAATCACCACTGATTTCACAACTGAAAGATAACTATTACTCTCACAATGTTTTGGTGTATGTCTTTCCAATCTTTGCATATTTTTATAGCAACAAATAAATGCACAGACAGCATGTTATTTTGCACAGTAGACCTCACTTTTTCACATTTTATGCGATATTCTGTCATTTACTAAAACAGTCCCGTAGGAGAGGACTTTAAATTATTTTTTCCTTTTCTATTTAATGTTTTTGTATACAAATTTGCATATATCTATGATTTTCCTTATAACAAATTCCAGAAAAGATTAATAAATCAAAGTATATGTACTTCTTAAAGGTTTTGATACATATTTCCAAATTTCTCTCATAAAATTGTGCTAATATATGCACTCACCCCAGTAGTGAATGTGTTCATTTCCCAGAACTTTATTAAACACGCACACTATTTTTTAAATCTTTGTCAGTTTAATAGGTGAAATGTTATTTCTTTTTTTAAACAATTCTGCATTTATTTCATTGGACTGAACCATTTTGTAATTTGTAGTCAAAACCAGTCAAATATTAGCCATTTATTATTGTAAGAGTTAACATTTTTTTATAGGTTTATTGGCCTTTGAGTTTCTTCATGAGTGAATTGCTTGTTCCTAATCTTTGCTCATTTTTTTCTTGCTGTGTTTACTTCTTTTTTCTAATTTATAACATCTCTTTATGTATTAAAAATTCTGGACCCTTCACCATATTTGAAGTTTTATTTTCATATTAATATTAAAGACGGAAATTTGTTCATTGGGTATAATTGTTCTGTTTATTAAATTCAGGGTTGGGATTCCATTTCTAGTACTCAGGTAGCATCTCTGGAATAACTAGACAAATAGAAATTTAAGACTTTTGATACGTGTTAGGTCACTGTTAAAATGCAGCTCTCTCTCCTTTTACCCAGAACAAATTTTCTCATAAACAGAGGTTCAGCATTTATAATATTGGCTGAACCTCAAAAGCATGAAACAACAAACACAAACCAACAAATAAACTGCCAAATATCTATTAGCCTTGTAGCATTTTTTTTATCCTATTCTTCATTTACACAATATGGTACTATCACTGTGTGAATTACAGTTTTCCATATTTGAAAGTAGTAACTTGTTTTGCTTAAGTTCATTCTAACACAGTTGTTTAAAAGTCAGGTAAATAATTAGCTGTATAATGAATACTTATTGTTTAGAAAGTTTTTGTATTTGAAGAGATCAAATAATATAATTTAGTAATAAAGTGCTTAAAACAGTTCATAGCACATAATAAACCTTATTTGTTTGTCAAAGAATAAAAGATATGAAAATTAACAATTATTGTTATTCTTTGCTAAAATAGTTTCTCAAAATACTGCCAAGAAAAAAAAATACTACCCAAATTGAATGTCTTTTGAGGAAAAATACTAAGTAAAAGATTATTTCTTTAGATAATATTCTAGTAATAATATTAGCTAATATTTACTATATTAAAATTTAGTAGTATATTTATTCTGTTATTTATAAAGTAATATGGCAAACTGTGGAAAATACTTTTATTGGTTTCTTTATTTTTAAAGGTAGTTATACTCTGACATTCGTAAAATATCAGATAAATTATTAAATAAATTGTCATATGACAAATTTCACTTAGCGTGCTTAGAAAAACAGGAATCATAAATGATAATGGTCATCTCTGGCAGAATACTAAAACAAAACTTTGTAGAACCTAAAACTTTATAGATCTAATAGGTTACCAAAATCATGGTTAATATTGGATCTTTCATTTAAAGAAATTTTGTTTCAGAATAAGAGAAAATATTTGTTTTCCTGAATTATTGCATCACAGATTGCCATATTAAAAACCTTGTAACATCAGGTGTTAATTTCATATATGCATGTAAGTTATCTGTTAAAAATTAAAGTTGCGCCCCTTTTTTTTTCCTGCCACTCTGATTGAAGACAAGAAATAGGATGGTGAGTGCTCTCTGAATACTCATGAATGGGGATGGCTGTAATTTTATGTATGCTTTCCCTTATTTACAGGAAGGGAAAGTTTGTGATTTCATTATATGGCAAAATTAATTAATGCAAGAGAACGTTCTTAGTAACACCTTTAGTTCTTGTTTAGTGTTACATGTATTCATAAAGGACACTAAGTTCTGTTCTCCTGATGAGAAGATAACTGTAGAGCAGGGGTAACATTTTTAGCAGGAGACTGCTAATTTATACAGATAATTGAGTTATATTTTCAAAGTGTATTGGCAAAGCAGTATACTAGTGGCCTGAAGAAATTAATATGTCTTGCAAAATAGATTTATTCTAAGTAAGATATTTATTTAGTAGGTAACAATACATTTTTATACCATTCTGAACTGTGTATCAACATCTTGAAATACAGTTCTTTTCTTTTTAAGCATAACGTTTTATGGAAATAAATTGCATGTCCTACAAAAATCCTTGAAACTCTGGGCTGCTTTTTTTAAAATAGGAAATACTCAAAGTTAGTTCTTCCACAGTGACTTAATTGATTGTTCTTTACAAAGCAAAGATTCTTTGCATTGATATTGTATGGATAATACATATGTTACCTGAATTATGTAAAAAAAATTTAGCAGTGAAAGTTAAGATTATGATTAAATATGAAAAACAATGTAATGGCTCTTATAAGCTTTTTTTCTGTAACTTAAAATATTGGAAAAGGAAAAGTCAATTTAATCTATAGTGAACTTCTTTTAGGAGGAAGTTATACTGCTTTCTTACTATGACCAACCATAGTCTTGATTCATCTTCAAATGTAGTCCCACATTGTAATAAAATTGCAACATATGTTGACAATGTAGAATGTATATTTACTTTTAACTGTAAGATTGATGTATCTGTGTATATATACCCTATATATTTATACTTCATTTCACTTTAAATATTTACTGTTGAAAACATGTATTTTTATAAATTGTGCTTATAGCTAGATAAAGTTTGTTAATAAAGAATTCTATTTAAATATCTCTGTTTAAATGTCTTGACTTCATGAGCAATAGAGGAAAGACTATAGTTTAGATTTATGTATGGTAAAATGCCATTCTGCTACATTATTATTTAGCCTCTCTAAAAGTTGCTAGATGTGTTTAGCATTGGGCAAAATTATCTTATTTCAGTTTTTTTATAAGTATCAAAGATAAAACTTTTTAGAAATAAACTTTAAGATCGTGTAAGAAGCATTTTTGTCTTTCCTTATAAAATAGTCTTTATTTTAAATTATAAAAGCAGTACTTGCAATATAGAAAATGTTAAGACCATAAGTATATAACATTAAAACCAATAATTCTGCCTTCTTCCTTTCAACCTTTACAGGTCCTGTTAACAATTGAGAGTATATCCCTCTGGATTTTGTTTTGTTCTATATATTTTAAAAAGGAGACATGTGTATCTCCCTCATTATCTTTAGTTTCCGTGGATATAGCTGTATGACAATTTATTGTTATCTTAATGATGAATAATTCATTTGTGTGTAATTATTTAGAAGAATTAATTTTTAAAATATACTGCTTGTACAGTGATTTGTGGTAGGTGATGATAACTAACATTACTTAATATTCTGATACAGAGAAATATATTCGGATCTTAGAGATAATCTGACAGCATTCCAAAAATACCTGATTGAGAGTAACAAAGAAATGATGCCTTTGAAAGTCTGGGAACTACAAGGTAAGGTATTTTGAGCTATGTTAATACAGTATTTTGGTAACTGATCTCTGTTTTGTTAAATATGCTTTTATATAACATGATATTTATAGACAATAATTACTAATATGAATAATATAAATGATTACATCATTTTTTGTGGAAATACATATGTCAAGCTAGTCATATTTTTATGTTTGTAAGACGAAGTTATATGAAGTGTAGTTATTTGGTATTATCTGATCATTTTAAAAGTATACATTGATTTATAGGTTAATCTCAATTACTAAATCACATTTCAGAGAATCTAAAACAGTGATTAAAAAATCCTGACAGGAGAAATCAAAACTAAATCTTAGTTTTCTTCTCTTTTAAATTTTGATCTTGTTAGATCATCTCATGTTTCACTGATAAATTTTTAATGAAAACGTCAACTGAGAGGACATGCAATTACAGACTTAGAACAGCTTTTGTGCTGACAACCTACAAGGAGATATTTTGTGACCAAAATTTAGTTTGGATTGAACTATAAGTCCTTCTCAATTTGTGATCTTCCTTTTTTATTATTTGTAATGATTTAGTAGGTCATGGGGACTAGTCATTTTTCTGCTTAATCCATAATTATCACATCTCTCATCAAATATTTTTAATATAATAGCTTTATTGAGATATAATTTACATACTGTATAATTCACCCATTTAAACTGTACCATTCAATGATTTTTAGTATATTTTTGGAGTTCTGCAACTGTTACCACAGTCAATTTTAGAACATTTTTATCTCCCCCAAAAGAAACTACTACCCATTCACAGTTGCTCTCCATTTCTCCCCAACTCCCCCAGCTGTAGGCAACCACCAGTCTGTTTTCTGTTTTTAAAATAACAATTAAAAGGATATTTATCAGAATGCTCTTACCATACTAATTTACATATAATATACAGATAATATTTTACATTTTATCTGGATTATAGTTTACAGGGTTTTTTCATATAAACTAACTTATTTGACCCTCATAGTAAGTTTATGAAGTAAATGAGCACCCCCCCCCACACACACACACACTCATTTTATTAGTAAGAAAAGTGAAATTTTGTGGTTTGATGGGCTAGTTACCAAATGGCTAATAAGTGAAGACTTGGGGGTCTAAGTTTTGTTCTTTATACTGTACCATATGGTATCTAGGTGAACTTTGTATATACTTAATAGATCTTTGACTGTCACATTTTAAAATTATATTAGAATATTCAGGAACCAGTCTTAGGGTTCTTTATCTTCTGCTATACTTTACTTACCTAGTACAGATGTTCTATTAACTAAGCACTGTATCATTACTTAATAGAAAATCACTCAAGAGAATGAGATGGTCAAGATCACTGTCAGGATAAATTCACTATAAAGAATTTACCTCTTTGAATGGATAGAATCTGTTCTCCCTGGACTACCCTGTTATACACTTACCTATTTTTTGTCTCTTTTGCTTCATCTAGACCTCATGTGTGGCCCTGCTTTCATTATGCCACAGCCATTGTGACTGTTCTTCCATTTGACATCATGGTAACACTAAACTGAGGCAGTTGGCTCAAATCCATTCTCAACAAGGATAATCTTTCTCAAATGAAAACCTGATTTTGTGTGTAAAATAAACCAGAATTTATTATTTATAAATCCCTGATCAAATAATGGTCTTATATTAGTCAAAGACGCCACACATTAGCACACACAACTAAGAAAGTTTAATAAAAGGGCTATTTGCAAAGGCATAAGCACAATTGAGAGAAACCTATAAGGAATGGATTCTCCAAACATAGAAATAGCAACTAGAAGGAAACATTTACCACCCCCCTAATCTTGAAGGAGCAAGAGGAAGCAGTAGTTATCAAAATTTGGAGAGAGTGTATGGAGAGGGCTGCCCAGTAGGGCAGTAGCCCCTGGTGGGGTAACATGCCCTCCCACTGTGACCTGGCAGGGAGGGAGCTGAGTAGTAACTGTCCATTCCTTGCTCTTTTTTTGCTTGCTGATTTCACACCAGTGACTTGTATTGGCTGAACTTAACAAGAAGTTACAGGGCAAGGGAGCCTGTTGGAGTTCAGATAGGTCAGCCGTTTGGGTCCAAAGAAGGATGGAGAAGAGTGGATCTGGAGGACAGACAGAAAATATCCAGCCGAGTCAAAAATCATCCTGTTTTTCCAAAGCAAATACTTTAGGAGAGACTTGAATGGAAGAAGGCATTGAAGCTCTACTCTAATCTTTTACTTCAGTCTTCTCCAGACTCATATACCATCACTCTCCTGTATGAATTTTCCTGTCAGTTTGACAAATTATACTTTATCTTTTCTCTGTAACTTTGCACAGGTCATTTGTCCATTTATTTGGTTATTCATTAACTTATTCAACAAATATTTATTAAATACCCACTATGTTTATCATTTGCTGTAGTTCTGAAGCAAATCTGATAGATTTCTTATCCTTTTGCAGCTTAAATTCTAGTAGGTAAAACAGGTAATAAACAAAAGAAAAGGAACAAAATTATTACAGCTTGTATTACGTACTAGAAAAAAAATGAAGATTACTGGCAGGGGTGTCATGGAAGCTAAATTAGACAGGGGTCAAAGAAGACGTCTCTGAGGAGATTCCCCCTGAATGGAAGCCTCCCCTTTTAACAGATTTATGTGTATACATCTTCTCTTGAGCAAATTCTTTATGCATTAAGGCTCAGCTCAAATATCTCTTTATGGAAACTTCCTTAACCTTCTGTCAAGATTACAAGTTCTTTTGTCTCTGCTACTATAACATTTGTACATATCCTTGTTACAGCATCTATCTCATAGTAATATAGGTAGAGATTATTTGCTATATATTGAGGTATTTCTAGATTCTAACATAATGCTTCGCAAAGAGCAGGAACCAGTAAGTACTTGTTTATGAAGGAATGAAGGAGGAAAGAAGTGGGGGGTAACACCAGTAATGTGAATTCATATAGAAATGCTGAGCTGGCAAGTATTATAAGTAAAGCAGCTCGGAGCTCTTAGCCAGAGATGTTGGTAGGACAGAGGGGGGTAAGCATATTCAGCCAGATACAGAAGAACCTTGGGGTACAAGCAAGTTGGTAAAGACAGGGAGGAGCAAACACAGTCTGGACAAGTCATAAAACAAAGACCAGGAGCCTTTGAAGAGATAAAGAAATAAAGGCCCAGAAATCCTGATTGAGACCATTGTGATGTCCTATAGAACTTTTAGTCCATTTTAATGACTCTCCTCCTATATCCTTAAATCCTCTTTTCATTAAGGTAGAATATAAATATTTCTGAGTTTCCTTATTTGTACTGTCTATAAATATTACTTCCCTGCCATAAATTAAGTCTGACTTTCCCTGAAATTCTTTCCCATGAAGAATCCATCTTGTGTTATTCCTGTGTTCCCCACAAACCTAAGATCCGGTTGGGATGAAGTTTAAAGTGAAGCTTGTTGTCAGCCTCTTGCTTTCTCAAACCTCTTCCATGACATCCCTATTCCTTATGTGATTTCTGTGCCTCCTTACTATGCCACCCACTATGATTTCTCATCATCCTCAGTTTTCACCTGCCAGGTTACTCTCTCACATTTATCAGGCAGTCTGTAACTTCTTACTCAAGTCTGTCATCCTGTAGTACTTCAGAATACATGCAGACTTTAGCCATATGAGTCATTAATCTTGTTACCTACCTGCAACCTTACTGTGTGTTTATTTCAGCCACCTCTTTACATGAGTATATTTTGGGCTTTATAATCAATCAAAAGTTGTCCAGTTCTAAAATCTAAAACTAGAATCTCAGCTTGAGAACAACTGTTAGACTTTCAGCTCGCCTACTCCCTCACTCTCACTAATCTTTGTCCTAGTCTATCACATTCCTTCTAGCTTCACTTCTTTCTCTAATACAGCTTATATTCCCAAGTCCATAATTTTAGACACCCTCTTTCCAGTATTCTCAGTTATCTTTTTTAGATCCTTTGCGTCTCTATCTTAGCACTTGCTTTTTTCTTGCATTATAGTTGTTTTATATTAAGCCTCCCTCTGTTGCTTTGCATTGCTTCACCCCCCACGGATTTGTCACCCCACTTTCCCTGGGTGATGGAGATGCAAAGGATTACTCAAAGCCCATCTCTTCTGAGCAATGAGAAGCACCGAAGTGGTTAACTTCCCTGGGAACGCTCAAGCGAGAGCCAACCCTTCCTTGGGAAATTAACACCGAATTGGGGTTCTCTTCCTGCATTTATTTTCCAGACCAGGAAGTTACAAAAAGAGAACATAAGTGGGGTTATAGTTTAACAATATAGGCTGGTAACTCTCAGTGAAACAAGTCAGATGACATTCCGTTAGACAATTAAGTGACCTTACAGCAATTTCTCAGTATCTTTACATAACAGTCAGTAACTAGTCTGTCTTTGAGCCAGCAACCTGCTGTGCCGCAATTCTTATCTTGCAACAAAGACTCACTAACCTGGGGAAAATTTCCTGTCCTTGCAAGGTCAATATTTGAAACTGCAAGGCTTTGGAAAACCAGGCCTTGTGAAGTACATATGCTTTTTAGTATATTCCACATCCCTCAAAATGTTTTCTAAAGGACCTTTGCATAACTGGGAAAATTGTAAGTGATGGGGTACCTTTGAAGGCCTTTAAGCAAAGAATATGTGCATAGTCAACTTAGTTTTAATTGGCCTTCCTAATGTCTGTGTAAGATGTATTTGAATGGACTAGAAACAGGGTATCTAGTTAAGACATCATTGAAATGGTGTAATGAGAGATTGAACTATGATTGTGCTAGAAGGCATAGAAAGGAAGGCTTGGATTTGGTAAATATTTAGGAGTAAAGAGTAGCCAAAAACAACTCTAAAATTTCCAGCTGTGAACCTGAGTAGAGAGAATACAAAGCATGTAAGTAGGTTTAGGGGTTGAATATGGGGCTAAAATAATGAAATCAGCATTGAAAATGGTGATTTAAAGTGATTATAAGATATCCAGATGATAAGGTCCAATGGTGGGATGAATACAATGCCCTCAAGCTGAAAGGAGAGGATTTAAAAGGTTGAAAATCTTGTCATAAAGGTTTTAAAAAGGAGAGGGTGCTGACTGAGAGTGCAGAATGGCACAATCAGTGCATTAGGGAGGGCGCCCTAGTGCTCATCCACAGATAGGAAGTAGAGCCCATGAAGAAGACGTGGTGGGATGATGAGAAATGGAGAACACATTATAGAAGCTGAAGGAAATAGATTTGCAAGAAAGAGAAAACTGCAGGAAGTGATCCTGTTGCAAAAAAATCCTAGAAAAATAAGGTCTGAAAAATGTTCATTGATTTTGGCAGTTAGGAGACATTAGTGAGGACTGATAGTAGTTTCACTGAAGTAATGGGGGCTGGAAACATGTTGAGGTAGGTTGAGGAAATTCTATTTAAAGTTATTCAGCTAGTATGTGTAGGGGCCAAAGGAAGACTTCCACTTCAACACCCTGAAGGTTCTCTGAAAATCAACTAGTAAACATTAATATGAAGAAAAAGCATATCAAATTTTATTATTTTAATGGGCTGGGAGGGGGAAATGCATGGGGGAATCACAAGAGAGTAATTTCCCAATTTTACAGTGGGGTACAAAGCCTATATACTCTTCTTCATAGGGAAAGGGAAAATGGGGGTGTATGAATAAATGATTCTTTGGGGGATTCAGTGGGTTTGGAGAACATTAAATGGTCTGGGACAAAGTCTATTTGGCCTGTAGAAAAGGCAATGACTGGTAAATGATTTTCTTGAAAATACTGAGTAGAAAGGCGCCTGGACAAAAGTCCAGGTGTGTTGGCAGACTTCAGTCTTCCTTCCTGTGGTATGAGTTAATGAAACCTGAGGGAAAAGACTGGAGGTAATTGTCTTCCTCATTGGTAGGTGTGAACTTTAGGCAAATAAGGGAACCTTTGCTTTGGAGAGTAACAGAGTATTTAGAGATGGGGGATGGGTGTGAGGTAAGAGAGACCTTGAGGCTATTTCTTTACTCCAGTATGTCAGAGCACCATATTTTGGAGTAACAGCTTTCTGCAACCCAGCATACACAGTAGAGCTGGAATTTGAACCCTGCTCTCTTACACTCTACCATACGATGGGAAGCTACCCTAACAGCATCTTTTTACAGGCTTAGACTCCAGGCTGATTAGCCATTTCATATTGAGAACAAGGAAACAAAACTAGCCTTGTTATCTTAAACTGGTTATTTTACCATTTTTTAATAAACTAAGATTTCACCTCTAGTGAAAATGTTAAAGAGAAACAATATGCTTCACTATTAGGTAATGAAAATTCGGTTTTAAATCTTTTCTGACTCTTGGCAAAGTAATGAGACTAAGATTATTGCTTCTGACTTATTTGAGACTGGCTGCAGTTAGCCACACACATTCTTCTTTCCATATACGACTGTCATTTCAGGTAAAATAGTACTAAATTTAGGAATTTATTTATATTTCAGCATAAAGGTAAAACAATGTTGAAAAAGAAAGTGAATGTTTCTGTTTACTGTGTTAAACACATTGGGTCTGTCTTAACGTTCTTTTGAGAATTGGCTCTTCATAGCTCTTTTTTCCCCTCCTTTTTGTTATTTTTTCATCAAAGCTTTTTGTCACATGTTTTGTTTAACCTAAATATAGAAAAAATAACTTTGTGTCAGCATTTCTTTTCATATATCTCTCTTTTGAATTATATTGTAATTTGTAGAAAACATAATGGATATTTAATGATAATTACTCACTGATAAAAGTGTAAAGCTCACCTTAATTGGACGTAAGTGATAGCTTTCCATTTAAAACTTTTTATAAATGCTAAATATAAGTGTTAACATGTTTATATATGAATATATGGAAAGAAGGATTGAGTAAAATTATTTAAATTACATGGTAATGTCTATAAAGTTCTAACATTATGTTAGATTACTTAATGATTTTTTTTTTCTTTCCAGATCTTAGTTTTCAAGCAGCTTCTCAAATAATGTCCACTCCAGCTTATGATGCCATTAAACTGATGAAAGATATTTCACAGAACTTCCCCATAAAAGCCAGGTATATTAAAGTTTATTGGTTTCATTGTAGCCAAATCTCTTTCTGTTAAATGAATTTTATGAAAATTCCTGATTTCATATAACACGAAGCTGTCAATTAATTCTAGTATGTATAGAATTTAAGTTAAGGACTTTCTTCATTATGTATGTTGGGTTTTTTATTAGAACAAAATATTGATTTGTGCACGCATGTGTGTACACTAGAAGATAGAATTCTTGAATTAGAGGCAAATGGAAAGGAAAATATGTATATAAACATTTTAAAAATTATATGTAGTAATCAAAGAAAAAGCTTGTTTAAACAATAAATAATAAGGAGTATTATTTTCTTTCCCTGATGAGTGATGATGGAAAGCATTGCTGTAAATAGGAGAGCTATGCTCAGAGTACTGCCAAATCATGTTCTTACCCTTTCAGATTCTGAACAATTAGTAATGTCTTAATTGTTTGGAATATTTTGTGTAATACTTTTTTGCCAATAGGATATCTAACTGAACTGCTTCCAGAAATACTGATTTTACATTAAACATATTTTCCATTTCAATAGGAAATACATTTGTATCTAAGAGTGACCAATGAAGATAATTCAGATTACCATGTGTTAGGAGGATCTACCAGATAACATGACTTTGCTGCATTTGTGTTCTGTTTAGGAATGACAGAATAAAAAATTATAAGCAACAAGTAAAATTTAAAATGTTAACTTATACTGAAGAGATACAACACATGAAAAGTCATAAGTGCATATGTAACAATAATGTTTTATTATAAAGAATTGGAGAGCAACCTGTGCTTTCAGCATACCTTCTTAAACATTGGGTGATTGCTATACCTCTTTTTGTCGCAAGCACTATTTTGTACATTTATCTACAGTACAAATTACTGAATCTTAAATGTAGGTATTCCTTACTTTGAAAGATAAATAAGTAGTACATAGTTGGCCACAAGATACTAAGAATCTTTTAATGATACCCTGAAAATAGTGGAGTAGTTTGTCATCCTATTTACAGATTAAGAATGAATATATTGATATAACTCTTTCAGTCAATTTTAAACAGTCAAAAATTTGAGATGTCAGTATTTATATACTGACTTATACACATTCATACATATTTTATAAATATATAAATAATATGTTTACTAGCACTGCTGTTAACAGTAGCTTTTGTAATTATTAGATCAAATACAAATAAAGTATAATTATTTTAGTTTTAATAAGACAGTGGATTAGATTAGCTCTACTGACATTGTCAGTATAACTGTTCAGGGGTTCTGATGCTAAACTCTGTTCTTACTCTGTGGTTGGTCATGAAGAAAAATTTGCAAAGTATGCTAACATTGCTTAATGGCTAAATTGTAGGCTTGAGCATATCTCTAAAGCCATTTGGTAGATAATCAGAAAATGTTTGTTGAGGTGAAACATTTGCTAAATGAATGAAAAATTGCATTATTAAATTTTCAATTGTAGTTTCTCTCAGTGGTGCGAAACTTTAAGAGATAGTACTCAATTCTCACAGGTTATTTCAAGATACACCTTTCTGCCTGAGTTTTCCTTAAAGTGGAACTTTGCATTAACACTCTTTTAATTTGTTAAATCATTTCTTCTATGCATAAAATTGACAAATAAATAACTAATTAAGCATTCTTAGAAGTTACCAAGTTTAATAAATACAGTCTACAGGAACTATTCTGTTGTTTTTAAGTTATAAAGGAATTATAAACTCTCCAAGAGTGATTAAAGTTAATATTGTCAGTATTTTGGGGCCGGCCCGGTGGCGCACTGCGCTAGTGCGCCGCTTGGGAAGCGCGGCAGCGCTCCCGCCGAGGGTTCGGATCCCACA